CACACACACACACACACACACACACACACACACACACACACACACACTTTGATGGTTTTTAAGTGCCAGAGCTTAAAGTGCTTCTGAGAAGTGTCACACATGTTTCCCATGTCCCTATGCTCCTCCTGGCAACCCTTCGAGGTAGACACCAGTAGTATTTCCATTTTAGGTTAAGCAATTAAAACTTTGGGCCTGGACTTAAAAACTTTCCCCTTGTCAGGGTTGCCCGTGTTGATCTCCGGAGCCTGGTGTCCTGCCGATCCCCGCTGACACCCGCGTGAACACCTTCTCCCGGGGCCCTGTTCACCTTCCGTCACCTGGGGGCCTAGGCCCGGGCAGGAAGCAGGCGGCGGCACAGGGGACTGTCCGGAGCTGGAGTCCTTGGGAGGAGAAAGGTGGTGGCGCTGAGCGGGCAGGGGGCCAACTCGCTCTGAGCCAGGCTTTCTTCTCCGCCGGTGCCGCACCCAGCCGCGCCCGTGCCCACTGCTGCCAGAGCCCAGAGGTTTCCTTTTTCTTTTTGCCTAAGGCTGTCTCCTGCCTTTCCTTTGAACTGGGGTGTCAGCTCCCCCACACAGTCACTCTCCTCCAGCAACCCCCCAGGCTCTCTCAACAAGGGAGGGCCCCGGGGACCCCATTTCCTGGAATTACTCAGCCCCTCCTTTGCTCTCTGCTTGGTCTGGGTGCTGCCTGGATTCTCCCCCTCCCTCCCTGATTCTGCACCCACTGCCAAGCCCTCTCCCCAGAGCTCCCCCTGTTTCACTCTGGCAGTGAAGGACCAGGGTTTGTCTGCCTCTCCTCTTCTACTTTGTCTCCAAATGTAGAGCGCAGAGGTCCAGAGAAGCCCGGGGACTTCGCTGGGGTCTCCCACCCACAGAAGGAATGAGGGTTCGAACTTGCATACCCCACTTCACAGTGAAGTACGTAGGCTCAGCGTCTGCTGGAGAGGCAGCAGAGGCTGGACCAGGAAAAGGGCCTCTGAAATGAGGAAGACAGCTGAGAGGGAGACTCCCACACATACCTTCCCCCAGGCCAGTGCGCTGACTGAAGCCACACAGTCCTCTGGGAACCCATCTGGGTCACCAGGGTAGCTACCATTGACCCCTTGGCAGTTTGCTCTCCTGCCACAGCCCTCAACACACACAAAGACTTGCCCTACAATTCTCATAGGAGGCTGCTTCTCCTCTTTCCAGTGCTACCTCCAGGACCTCCTCCTCCTCCAGGAAGCCTTCCAAGACAACTGCTTCCTGACTCTGGCTCCCTAAAGGCAACACTGCTAACACTGTGTTCTTCCACTTTCCACCTTCCAGACCCTCTGCAGACACTACCTAAGTGAGTACACACAGCAGCCATTTGAATCAGCTTCATTTATAAAGGGAGAAACCAAGTCAAGCTATAAACCAACAGACTTGCCCAGGTTCACCTCTCACCGCTCTCTCTTTACACCAGCACCCTTCCTTAACTCTTCTGCTCTCTTCCTATAATACTCTGCCTCCCTCTCTTTGGCTATAAACATCCCTAGGCAGTGGTGAGGGTTATGCTGAATCTACACATAGGTGGGCACACACACAACTGACCTTCCACACAAGCCCATTTTATCACGGTAGTCTTGAAGGAAGAATTCCCCAGAAAGCAGTGAGCAGCCTGGCATAGAATGAAAGCCCTAGCAGCAGTGAGTAAAAGAAGGGGTGCTAAGGGGTAAGAAACAGTGCCCGAGCCTCTGAGTGTTTGCAGCAGAGCTACAGACACATTCTCCAACACTTCTCAGCTCCAGGGCAAACTGGGGCTCCATGTAAATGCCCCAGGGTGCATTTGCCTAGCACGCATTTGCTACATGTACATTCCTGTGTTCGTATGTGCTGGGATATAACAGGACACCTCTCATTCACATCACCACAAACTGCAGTGTCCCAGAGCCGGTGGCGGCATATTCCCCTACATCCCTTTCCATAGAGGCCTCCCCCAGGGAGACACACAAAACCCAGCAAATTCCCCTGAGCCTCGCTCTGATGACGGTGTTGGGGGGAGGCCTTTATAGACACTTGAAGAACTGTCTATAAATGTATGAGTCCTAACTTTAATCAAGGGCTGGCATCCGGCCCCAGAGTGCTCATGGGTTTTTGGACTTTGTGTATCAAATAAATAGACGTAAAGACTTTCTGGTCTCCCCTGGACCTAAAACAAAATGGGAGGATGCAGATGCTTCATGTACCTAGCCTAGGTACAGGCTAGAAAGGAACCTCACCATCCCAGGGTAGGAAGCAGATGTCAAGTGATCTGTGCCCAGGCTCTGTCAGGGAAGCCCTCAGGGGGCCCTGCAGCGTCTTCTGCAGCCCACAGGCAGGGCCCGAGCCTGCCAAAGGGAAGGCTGTCCCAAGACACCCCTGGCCTGGCTCCTCCTCAAGGTCCATTTCTCACTATCTTCAAATGAGAGCTGGGAGGATAGCTCAGAACAGTAATGAGTTTGATGCTCAAGCACGAAGACCTGATTTCCATCCCTCCCCTGCCCGTGAAGTATACAGAAGAGTGGTGTGCCCTTGTAATTCCAGCATAGGGTAGAAAAGACAGGCAGACCCCTGGGAGGCCCGGCCAGCCAGCCTAGGTCACTCAGAGAGCTCCCAGTTAGCAAGAGGAACTAAGCGGACAGCCCCTGGGGTGCGATGCCTGCGGTTGACCCCCAGCCTCCACACACACTACACATGTAGCTGCATGTACACGCACACCAACACAGCACAAACACACACACACACACACAAGCACACGCACACAAAGCGATGAGTAAAGTGTCCTGGCAGCTCCCCTGAGAAAGCATAAAGGGAAGGCCTCACCTCCACCAGACGGCAGATGCCCCTCTCCCATCACCCAGCTGGGACCCCTGAACAGGCAGGCAAGGCCTCCCCACCTCCCTCCAACACTGCAGATACTGTTGTAAAGTTCTCTCCAGCATCCCATGACCCGTACCTGTCACTCCCTTCTCCTACCCTCAGAAACACTCTTAAGCCTTGGAAGAAAAGGGGTTCCTCGATACTGAGGAAGGCTCAGGAAGAGCTCAGAAACCCTCACTGCTTCTAATTCAAAGATGCCTCACACATCAGAGGACACTGAGTCAAAGTGTCCGGGAGCAGTTGTCAGTATGGACAGGGGGACACTTGGATCCCCAGAGTGAAATACTTCACCCCTGTCCCAAGTACTGCCAGGGTGAGGGAGGGAAGTCCACAGATTAGTCTTGAGAGTTTTGGGTGCTGAGGAACGTGGCCTGACCTTGCACCCTCTGGAAGGTCCTGTAGCCTCTGCCCCTTTCACACAGGCAAGAGGCATCTCTTCTGCTGTTCTCAAAGAAGCCCCAACGGAAGTCACTTATTTTTTGTCTTGTTTTGATATATTTGAGACAGGGTTTCTCTGTGTAGCCTTGGCTGTCCTGAACTCACTTTGTAGACCAGGCTGGCCTTGAACTCACAAAGATCTGCCTGCCTCTGCCTCCCAGAGTTCTGGGATTATAGGCGTGCACCACCATGCCTGGCTCAGAAGTCATTTCTAAACTCTTTTTAGCCACCTGCCCTGTCTTCCAATGAAACAACGTCATAGAAAAATGTAAAAAAGAAAGAAAGAAAGAAAGAAAGAAAGAAAGAAAGAAAGAAAGAAAGAAAGAAAGAAAGAAAGAAAGAAAGAAAGAAAAAAGTAGAAATAGGGCTCCTAGGGGTGTAATGGGGCAGGCGCGCTCTGCCTGTGCTGAGCACCCTCCCAGCCCTGCTTCGGATTCCTGCTCACCTTCCCCATCACAGTGGGCTGTGCAGCACTTGGTTTGCCCTTCTGGAATATGGGTGTTTCTCTATCCATGACTCCCTTGAGCCACAACTGTGTGTTTTGGAGTGAGGGAGGATGTCCAAAGGGGGATAGAGATAAGAAGGGTACATCCTACACGGAGCTCTAGTTCAGGGCTCCCCACACTCACGGGACACTGCCCCCACCGAGCTCAGTGCTCTATTGCTGAGCCTCTGGGAAAAGCCCAATCCCTCTTCCTCAGCGCTCATCAGTTCTAGGACCCCAAAGCTGGCAGGGCTTCTCTTGGGCCGAGGGAGCGCTGGGACCCTTCCCAGACATTTCCACCCGCTCTCCCTCCTCTGAGGGGAAACAGAGAGGGCCAGAGACCTCCTCTCCCTGAAGGGTGGAGGCCAGGTGGCCTAGGATGTGCTCCCGCCCCTCCTGCCCAGGTGATGAGCAGCTACGCCTCTGGCTTTCTGGTTTTGAGACAGTTACCCCCAACAGGGTCCCCTTCATGCAGCACCTCACCCCAACTCAGACTCTAAAAACGGTTCTCTGGTTTTCAGTCTCGGAGCCTGCCCGCAAATTAGTGTCTCTAACACAGCCTCCTGGGACGGGACTTCAGGGAGGCCTGGGGAGGGGGCAGGAGACCTCTGCGCAAGAAGAGAGTGCTGGCAAGAGCCTCTTCCCAAAGAGAGGACCCCCTGCCTCAGTGGGACAGTTCTTCTTGCTGTGGCAGAACTCCGTCCTACCTACCAGGGCACACTCCGCTCACCTCACACCAGGGCGGTAACTTTTGCCTTCGTCAACCCTCCTGGGCACTGTTCTGCTGAGAACGACAGCGAGAGAAAGTACCGCCCCCCTCCCCACATTCCCCATTTTCTTCCACGGGGTTCACACCCCGCTTTGCCAGGCCTGGACTCTCTCATTGAGCCCGTGGGAGTGGGGAGCAGCACCTGGGAAAGGGAGCAGGGAAGCCCAGGCTCACTCCTGGCCTTGTCCTTCGTTTTTAAAGGACTCCCCTGTGCTCCCTCGTCCTTCGTTCAGACTCAGAATTGGAAGAGCAAGAGCCCTCCTGGGATGCTCATGGCCCAGGGTACCAAACGGGTGTTTGGGGGCCAGGCGGCCGTCACGGATAGCAGCGACGGGCAGGTGAGTACTCACAGGTAAGCGGTCAGGGGGTCCAGGTCCCCTGGCACCACCGAGAGCCCGAGCTCGGAGCAGTCCGCTGACAGCATGATGCCGTCCTCCTGGCAGTGGCAGGGAGCCGGGCAGGCAGGACGCCCCGGGCCAGGCTGGGGGTCGCCGCCCGCGCGTGCCGAGGCGCACAGCGCGGCGCAAAGCCACAGTGCCAGGGGCCCCGGCGGGCTGCGCATCTCGGCGGCGGGCTGCGGGGGCACCTGGCGGACGCTCGGCGGGCGCGCAGAGCTGTGAGCGCGGGGCTCACCTCCTGGGCCGGGGCGGGCCCGAGGGCTGCGCCGTCGGTGGGGACCGCCCCACTCCACTTGGCTTGGGCGCGGCGGCGGCAGCGGCGGTCGGACGGTGCAGTCAGAGAGGGGCAGGCATTGTTGAGTGATCTTCGTTATTCAGTTTCACAGGCTGGGCTTGGCGAGGGAGGGAGACACGGGCGTGGGGGGGAGGAGTCAGGGAAACTTTCTGCGCTGGAGCTCGCTCTCCTTCCCTCCTTCCTTCCCAGCTGGCAGGAATTTCATGGGGGGTAAAGGAGGGGTGGGGGATGAAGAAAGCAAAGAAACTCAAATCTAGGAACGGTCAGCACCTCAGAGTCCAACACTTGTTCGGGAAGGGTGCCCCAGAGCTTGGGCCTGTGGGGTCGAATTCCTCTTGACTTTAAAACAGCTACAGGGTCTAAAGGAACCAGAGAAGGTCATCAGGAAAAGACCCCCAGCGTTCCACAGACACCAGACCCACTACCAGGTTTTAGGCTGAAGGGAAGAGAGACCCGAGAGAAAGAGATGCTCAAGGGTACACGGCTAACGGGAACAGACTCAGAACTAGTGCATGGGTCATCCCTCCGCACACCCTGGGGGAGGAAGGAGGTCTTGGCCATGGCGGATTAGCAGTGGGAATGATGAGGCACTAACCCCTCTTTAAGGAGCCATGCCCTGACGCCAAGGAAAGCGGCGTGGATTCCCCCAGATGCGCAGGGCATGGAAATGAACTCATGTAGGCTGTCAGATTTGAGGTCTGTGGAGTACCCTGATCCCTAATCTCAGGACCCAGGACAGTTGAGGAGCTGCCCTCTGCACAGCTGGTTGCCGGAGCTTACCAAGGAGTCGGTGGATTGGCGCCACCTGGAGGCTGAGGGCTGCAGCTACAGCTGTCACCTTAAGGGTCCGATTCCGTGCGTGATCCATCCCAGCACCTTGGAGAGCAAGGGCAATGATGGCAAAGTGGGCATTCAAGACTCTCTCTCAGGCCACACTGAGCTAGCAGTGCTCTCTTCATGGGGCCTTTTGCTTTCTCTGGCCTCCGGATCTTTCTCTGAACCAAGCCCCAAGGTAGAACTAGACCAGACTGGAAGCCTTTTGACTCCCCATAGTCCACACCAGAGATATGAGGACCTTAAGAAGCAGCCAAGATTCGCCCCACCCTTTAATTCTATACCCCGAACTCTCGTCAATTCCCATCCATCCTTTGTGAACGCTCTAGGGCAGGCAGGGAGGCAGCTGCTCATGCAGAAAGGACTCCGTTTCCAGGGCTCCAGCTGAGGCCATGATGGAAGATGAGCCTGTAGGAAGATCACAGGATGGCCCTCCATGGCCACGCAGACCTGCAGGCAGAAGACCTCTCCACCATTCCTCTCACTTACCCCTTGCCTTCACCTTGGCTCTAGCCCCACCCCCCACCCCCCACCCCAATTTCCGCTCCTGCTGCTTGCTTCAGGGCTCCAGCCAAGGTTGGAAAACTACACTTGGGCCCCATTCCATGCCTGGAGCAGCCTTCTGAAGTGGGCCTGAGTAGCTCAGGGCTGAGTTTCCATTCTGCCCATTGGAGGGTCGTTCTGAGGCCAACTCCTTGAACTCCTGAGACTACAGGGCTGAAGACAACATTGATATTCCATCCTTCTAGGGGAGCACCAGAGCCCAGTCTCACTGTGGGAAGGCTCAGAGCTAGCAGAAAGCCCCACTTTAAAAATCACGCTTATCTTGTGTATGGGTAGGGTGGGCACATATGCCCACACTATGTCCTATGCCATGACACATGGCACAAGTGTGGAGATCAGAGAACAATTTGTGGGAGTCGGCTCTGTCCTTCCACCACACAGGCTCCAGGGATTGAGATCAGGTTGTCACCAGGCACTCTTACCCTCTGAGCCATCTCAACAGCCCAGTTCCACTTTGTTTGTTTGTTTGTTTGTTTGTTTAAAGATTTATTAATTATTATATAGTGTTCTGCCTGCGTGTACTCCTGTACTCCAGAAGAGGGCATCAGATCTCATTATAGATGGTTGTGAGCCACCATGTGGTTGCTGGGAATTGAACTCAGGACCTCTGGAAGAGCAGCCACTGCTCTTAACCTCTGAGCCATCTCTCCAGCCCCAGTTCCACTTTTTTGTTATTTAGTTTTTCTGTTTTGGTTTCTTAAGTCAGGGTCTCCTGTAGCCCATGCTGAAACTCAAACTTGTTATGTAGCTGAGGATGATCTTGAATTTCAATCCTCTTATCTTCACATCCTGAGTGCTGGGATTACAGTCATGGGCTACCATGCATGATTTATGTAGTACGAGGGATCAAACCCAGGGTACCATGCGTATCAGGCAAGAATTCTACAAACTGAGTACCTCCCAGGGCCCATAAAGCTGTTGTTCCCCTTCTTCACCCAAGCCTGAGAAGGACCCTCTCAGACCATAGGACTGACCCCTCCCACAGGGCTAAGAACCAAGTTGGCCAGTGAGAACCCTGGCCACGCCCCCCATGGGAGTGGCCTATATAACCGAGAAAGAAAGTGAAGAACTTGGGAAACTTGGCAGGTCCACTCAGAGTCACCTCTGGTTCCTTACTTAAAGGTCACAATGTGGCTTTAAGACTTCTACCCTGTCAAGAAGTCTTCAGTGGCTGAGGATAGGCCCTGGAGTCTGGCAGATAGAGAAAGGGGTGTGGTGGCAGAAGATGAAAAGTAGAAAACTAGATAATTCTTACACATTTGGGGTGGCACGCAGTGAGTAAATGGGACCCAGATCTCAGACTTAGCCCCACAAGATGCTAGGGGTAGAGAGGCTGGAGTCTGAACACACTGGAAAAGCAGAAGGTTGGAGAATAGGGGACACTGGGGAAAAACCAAGAGCAGGCCAGACATAGGTCAACTGGCTCAGCTAGACCCAGACCCCAGCTGCCAGCTCTGCCCCAGGCTGAAGGATGGAGAAACAAAGCACAACCATGAGTTTGATCATGGGTCTTTATTCCCGACTCTGCTCTTTCCACAGCATGAGGCCTGGTGGATGTGCTCTCCCCAGCGAAGCCAGGGCTCAGTGGATTCGCTACAACAGGACGCCACAGGCGCTCCCCAACTCAGGACAACCCATCCAACAGTGCACTGTTCAGGCAGTTGTAGAGGTAGATATACTGCTCCTGTGGGTAGACATGGACAAGGTACCTCATCTCACAGAGAAACGCTCCCAGGAGCTTCCTAACCCCCACTCCATCCAGGCAGGGCATGGTGGTCCACAGAGCCCCCTAGCGGTGACCTGAACGGGGTAACCTGTAGCTGGGACGGAACCTGCCTGACCTTATCCCTTTCACAGTAAGCCACTCCCTGTTTGCCTCTCACCAGCGTTGGGGTCATGAGGCCACAGGCCTGTGACTGCTTCAGAGCCACACTGAAGACATCCACGGTGCACTCAGTCCCCGCTTGCTGTAACAGCTGCTCCATGGCCACGAAGGTGCCCAGCTGGCCTGAACCCTTGCTGTAATTGACCTAGAGTTAGGGACCTCTGGGGATGAGGCTGTGTCCAGGGACATGGGGAAAACAAATTCAGTTCTAAGGACCAGGAAAGAAGCTTGGTACTTGATTAACCAGCCAGGCTAGTGCCCTGCAAAATCCCTAGGGATGGAGCAGAGAAGACGAGGGGGTGGGGGGAGCAGGGCGGGAGATTTGGGAGACCACCCTTTGACCCATAACCCACACAGTTGACAGCACCTGGAGTGACTGAGCAAGGTCCCTGACTTCTTGCTCCTGTCCCAGGAGCAGCACTGACCGACAGCATCCAGGAAGGGCAGTAAGGTGGTTGGTGGGAGCTCACACCCAGACTCCCAGCATGGAAACTGCAAGTGCTGAACCTGCCTTTCAGTTCTGCTTTTCCCCTGGAACAAGGGCAGGATCAACACTGGTGCTGGGGAGGGTGGCAGAGGGAAGCGGCACCGCCCTCCGCACCGTGTCCTCAGCACCTACATGTACGACTCTGAAGAGGGTGCAAGGCCAGCCGGCTATGTTGCTCTCAGCTACTCTGTGCACTGTCACCACGTCTGTGACAACAGGCTGCCCCTCCATTGGCCAGATGTTTTGTGGCTAGGAACAAAATGGGACTCTCCATCAGCTTCCAAAATCTCTGCCCGTGCCCAGGCCAGACAGCACCACATACTCCTGCTCTCCTTGTCCTGTTCCTGGAGCCACACATCCTGTCCCTCCACTTCTCTCACCTTCTCCTTGGTATCAGGCAGGCCCAGGGAGACCAGCACACGGGCGCTATGCTCCCACACAAGTTCCCAGAGCTCCTTTGGTCCAGGAGAGCCAGTCAGCACCACATGGTCACGACCAGATGGCCCACCCTGCAGAGTACAGCTTATTGGCTCCCAGGGATGAAGGAGACTCCTGACCACACTGTACTAGTAACCCCTAGAACCCAGCCCCAGCCCGGGGAAGCAAGCAACGGGGCTGCAAGATCAGAATCATCTCACAGGGAAGAGCCAGGCTTCCAGCATGTTATCATCAGGGCTCTCCTCCACCTCTTCGAACTGCACCTGAGGATGATGGCCTGGGGGAAGATGACGAGAGTGAGGCTGCCACAGTTTTCTCATACACATTTGCTCCACCCCACCCAACCTTGTGTCCAGTGAGACTCACTGGAGACTACGCTGTTCTGATTATAGCCAGGAGGGGGCGTCCGAGAGCCACTGTCATCCTTGATAGCTTGTTTCAGGAGCTGGGAAAGAGATGGACATGGTGAGGTTGGGCAGTGAGAACTGTGCTCTATGGTAACTCATTCCTTGGCCCAAAGTGTACCTTGTACTCCTTCAAGAAACCAGCGTTGGCATTGGCTGCCCTCTTGGCACAAGCTTGTGCAAAATTCATCACAGAAATGGGGCGGGAGCTGGAGGAAGGAGGAGAGAGAAGGCACTTGGTTATCCAGGCCCTGCTT